GTACTTCATGTGCTCATAGCACTTTCCTCATTGCCCTGGAGCCATCCTCACCCTTTCTAAAAAACTTGGCCCATTAATATATTTTTCTGGATCATTTCTCTTCTCTACTTGAGGTTAGAAAAAGAAGAAAATTTGATGAGTATATAATTTTATTAATAATTGATCTATGAGGTTAAACAGGTAAATAGAACTTACACCCAAAACAGTAACAACAGCAACTACAAAAAGGATAGATTTTTAGTACAGCAGGAGAAATGGCTCAACCTCATTCTGAGGAGGCCACATTGTGAACCTACAAGCTCTCTAGGCTAAAACATAAAGGTTTGAGTTTGCCTCGTGAATGAGCTACTTCCAGCACTTCAATACAAATCCTTCAGCTTCATTTTCCAATCACTGTTGCAGCAACCAGACCCATCCAACCATTGGCTGGCAGAGAGAACCCAAAAACACCTCTCCTTAAGCCTGCACCATGCACCACTTGTTTTTTGCCCCAGGGCTGGCACTGAGCCATGAGATTATCTATAGGTACTCACTTGGTATTCATGCATGTATTAGTACAACCCAGAAGTATGTGGGAATTAAGAACTCTTTGGGTATACTTTGACCAATGGGAGATGAGTTTCAATGGATGCATTGTTTCCTTCTTTATTTTCTGGGGTGGACTATCCTGAGACATATTTGATAAAGGGTTCAGAGGTGGTCCTGCAGAATTGGGCAATATGATGCTGGCATTGGGCCTGTAAATATTTCTTTTACCAGCTGGTACAGTGTTAACACTTGTCAGTAGAGGGTGGTGGAGGAACACTGTAAGAAGAGGTTTTCTCTTCTTGATTTCATTGTGGTTTGCTGGCCAGACTCCTACAGAACATGCTTTCTCTCCATTGCTCAGCCCTGTGTGGTTTCTCCAGGACTCAGTTCTAGCAGTGCATAGCTTTCTTCAGCATTGAGCCTCCAGGTTTGTTCTCTAGCTCTCCACCAGGACACCATGGCATAACCAGGAGCTCCAGGAAGAATGGACCAGTGCTGTAGCTGAGATAGCTTCTTCTGTATCTTCTTCTTAGCCATGCATACATGTGTGCACAACAGGGGCCTATGGGACCAAACTTCTAGCAAGGTGGCCACCCAACCCTCATCCTGGGAAGGCATCCTGGAGCACCCCAGCATAAGCCACACATGGAGCTGCACTATACACCTACAGAGAGCAGTCTCTCCAGCTCCCAGGTACAGCAGTCCCTAGCAGCCAGCAGGTTCCCTAGCTCCTAAAAAGTTCTGCGGCTCAGCACCTTCCTATGGAAGGCCTTCCCTGGAGCTCTCAATGGGCAGATCTATGGCAGGCCTCACTAATAAGGCACCTTAGTGACTTCATAGGCAAAGAAGAAGGACCGGAGGTCTCCTCCTTGATCACTTTATCTTAACCCTTCAGATAATGGTTTCTCCTTATAACCTGCTTCTACTAGATTCTTTACAATTATCTTTAACTAGCCAGTTTCCCCACTACTTTAGCTCCCTGCTAGTAATTCTTTATATTAAACTTTTTCTGTTCAAATAAGTGCGTGGTTTTTGTCTTCTGATCAGACCCTGACTAACATAGCATCAAACTCAATAAGGTGTTTGCATCCTCCTACCTCACTTGACTTCAGTTGTTCCATATTGACATTATCAGTAACATGGTCAATTGACAGCTAAGACCCTATTACCAGTAGTGAGAGAGCTGACAATGATCCTTGAAATTACCTCATAATTACTAAGACACTCACTTATGATTGACTGCAAGGTGTTTGGTTATATGGAAACTGTGGATCTTGAATCTAGTCTTCCCATTTTTACCTAAAAACATTAATTCTAAAGATTATGGAATAGGCAAATTTTTAAATAATTCTATAATTATAATTCCATAATTCTAAAGATTATGGAATAGGCGAATTATCTGCATTGAAAACCTTGGAATAAAAACTGATTAGATTAAGATATCCAGCTGACAATGCAGGAAATGCTATGAAAATTCAAAGGACTTCTATAAAATAAATTTAAGGAAACCCTTATCTCCTTCAGCCATAAATCATATATCTATAAAACACAGGCAGAGAATTTAACTGAAAGAGTGCAGAGCTGTGAGGCAGCCCAGATGCTCAGTGTGACAGATCTATGATAAAGTCATAACACTGTACAAGACTGTAAATAAAATAATAGAAAAATGGTGAGATTCACATTCCTGGAATGTTGGCATTTGAGTGAATAAGCCTTCAAATCTGGAAAATTTTGAATATCCCATGACAGCAAAAGCAACTCCCTTCTCACTTCTCAGAGGATATTCATTTATTCCTGTCGGGACACCTTACACAATCCACACCTGAGTAGCCTGCCTCACAAGGGACACCTTCCCTCCACAAGAACTTCCCCATCACTTCTCATTGTGCCCAAAACAATAATTCAGCAGGTCTCAGCAAAGGCTGAGAAGGGAAATATTAACATTCTGGGAGGAAATAGTTTATCCATTGAGGGTACTACAGGACCTACCTAATTTTACTAAGTGGAGACAAATGAATACTACCAGGAGTTAATCTTGAAAGTGTTAGATCCAGGCAGCAGAGGAAGTAGGTGGTGGTATGAATATTAATTGACATAAAACAAAATGTATTGACAGGAAGGCACTCATGCATGATTTGGGGTTATATATTATATAAAGGATACCTGGAAATTGTGCAAATGCACTGCTGACATGGATGTTTGAAACTGGACACGATAGTGACCTACAGCAAATTAGATGGACATAGCAAATATGGTTGGCATAGTATAGACTTATAGAATTATCAGGGAGGTGGACATGTTAGAATGGATTTAACATATAAAACCAGAAAATTTACTACAAATTATTTTCTCTGTGAAGAAAGAGAGGACACTTATTCACTAAGGCAAAAAGGATGAATGTGTAAGAAGAAATCTGGAACATTTTAAATTTCAGCAGTTGCTGTGCTCTGTAGGCTAGACTTAGCAATGGAATGTGTTTCCATGGAACTGGGCTCTCTACCAACAATGAGGCTGAAGGTATTTTGAGACCACATGGCAGTAATTAACAATCAGATATCAGGTGGATATGATTACTGCAAGGATGGGAAGGCTAGAATAGGAATTAGAGTGACCGGACCCATGGTGATCTGTTGCAATAGATGCAATAGATGATAGACTTCCTGGAGACAAGCTAAGTGGACAGTTGACTAGGACATTACTCAGCATACATTTAAAATAGAGAACTGCTGAGCACCGGCCTGACATCAACCACATAATGGGAAGTTGTAGTCACTTAGCCTGTTTAATATTTAAGTCACTTCAAGTGCACAAAGCCCATTAATTGAACATGAGTCTTGTTATCCTTCAGGAAGTACCCTGTAGTGCCATTGCCAGTATGCAAGAAAAATTATCCAGATTTTTCCCCAAGATGACCTATTTACTAATGTAAATATTCATTGGAGAAAGGATACCCAGACTCTTTGAGTACTATTAGATATAGGCTATATCTTACTGATAATAGGCACCTAAATATACCATCATGATTTTTTTGTTAACTTATTAGATTATTGAGACAATGCAATTAACAGACTCTGGATAAAGTTTATCTCATAGCTCAATGATTTTTCAGATTTACCTGTGGTTATTGTTTATATAGATTAACTGTATAATGGGAATACTATACCTAGTAGCTAGAAAAATTCTACCATTGTTACCAACTCTGAGACATTTAAATAATTATGGTAGGATGAATGATATGCTAGGTCAAAAAAGCACAAATAAATCATGTGAATAGTTGGTCCAGAATCCCATGGTACCTGTCACTGTTACACAGATGGCTTTGCATTAAATTACACCCATGGACTCATTAAAAGATACTGATAAGATGCTGAAAAAGGAGGAAAATATTCAGGCTTGGTTAATGGATGGACTGGTGGACAAGTTTGACTAACCAAAACTGGCATACAGCAGCATAACTCTTACACGTGGATGGTCATACAGAAGAGTGGGGAAGGAGCATACTTCTACTGGGCATTGTTTTGAGTAGTACCCTTGGTTGTTAACTTTTTATGGAAGGAGAGGCAGTCTGAGGTCTGTGGAGATGCATGGACTATTGGTCTTTGCTGAATGGACTGGATAGGTCAGGGGATGCAACTAGCTACTTTGGAAGAAGGACTATAAGGAAGTCTATATGTGACATGTATATTGAAGTGGATACAAAGGATGAATATGTTTGTGTCTCATATTAATGTTTACTGGACAGTACCTACTTCATAGGAGGAACTCAACAACCAGGTAGAAAGTGCCTACATGTGAATATCAGCCAGACTTTGCTCCACCATTGTGAGTCCAGTGGTACCATAAGTGGTGTCAAAAGGCAGAGGTAGAGATAAACATGAGCCACAAGTATGGGTCCCCTTTTACCAAAGCTAATCTTAGTAAATAAATAGCATTGTCCTTGTTCCTAAAATGTTAGCAATATTGTTACCAACTTTTACTCTTTAGTTAACAGCCTCAGTAACTGACGCTGAGCACTTGATATGGAATTTCGCATTTACAATGGATAACCCCCGCACATAATAAAGGACAAAATAATTTCATCTACATAAGACCCAAGGTTTAAGTACATTGATACGTATTTTAGGATTCACACTAGAAAATGTCTATTTTGGAAGCATGCAGAGAATCAAGAGTTTAAAGAAAAAACACAACAAATTAATGTGTTTTTATATGTAATTTAGAAAATAATAACTAGCTTATTAGGAAAGTTTCCCACATTAGTTCTGGACTTTTATAATTGTATGCTAAGCCTGAATTAACATTTTATGTAGGTCTTATACTGGTTGCAAATATCAACAGTTGTTTATATATGTTATCTCACTTTATATTGAAAACAAAATCATAATTTAGTTGGCACCAATATGAATTTACTGGCAAACTGAGTAAGCAAATATTGTACAACCTATACTTTAAACTGTTGGAGGTATGTCTAGGAACTTTTGAGTACAATTACCACATTCTAGCAAAGTGCTTATTCATAAATGGTTTTATCTCTACTCTGAGATAACTGATGATTAGATTGGGAGCTTTTTCTGAATTAAAACCTTGATAATGGCCTTTCTAATCTGCTTAGTCTTTACACTGTAGATGATAGGGTTGAGCACCGGAGGGATGAGCAGGAAGACGTTGGCCATGATGGTGTGGACAAACGGAGGTGCTGAGTGGCCATAGCGATGGACAAGAGACAAGCTGATGAGAGGGATGTAGAAGATGGCAACAGCACTGATGTGGGATATGCAGGTGTTGAAGGCTTTGCGTCGCTCTTCTGAGGAAGCAATGCTGAGGACAGACCGGATGATCAGGATGTAGGAGAGCAGGATGCAAGGGCAGTCAAACCCTGTAGTAGAGAAGAGGGCAAACAGACCCAGGATGCTGTTGATTCTGTTGTCTGTGCAAGAGAGTTGAATGAGATCAACATGGTAGCAGTAAGAGTGTGACAGGACCACAGAGCTGCAGAAGGAGAGCCTCCTGACAAAGAGCACGACTGGCAACATGACAGCAACGTTCCGTACCAACATGCTAACCCCGATCTGGGCAATCCTGGCATTGGTGAGGATGGTGGTGTACCTCAGTGGGTCACAGATGGCCACAAAACGATCCAAGGCCATGGCCAGCAGAACGCCAGACTCCATGAAAGTAAATCCATGGAGAAAGAACATCTGGGCAATGCAGGCATTCAAGTTGATCTCTCGGGCTTCAAACCAGAAGACACCAAGGGTAGTAGAAAGTGTGCACAGGGACAAGCTCAGGTCTGTGGCTGAAAGCATAGAGAGGAAATAATACATGGGCTCATGGAGGCTCTGCTCACGGAGGACCACAAACAGGATCATGCTGTTTCCAGAGAGAGCGATGACATACAAAAGACAAAGGGGGATGGAGATCCAGACCTGGGCTTCTTTCAGACCTGGAATGCCCGTCAGGAAGAAGGTCAGAGGCTGAGTATTGGTATTATTAAGGATCAACATAGTGAAGGACTGAGAAGACAGGGATGTTTGAGTAATCGAACACAACACATCATACGTAGCTTATTACTTAGAACATCTTTCTGGCACTCCAAGATTCACCGAATTACTATTAATGTTTCTAATTCTCTAAAAACTTAAGCATTTTTTGAGTTTCCTGGAGCTTCAAACTTCTTTCTCAAACTCTCAGTGCTTCACATTTATTCAGAAAAGAGAATTCCCTGAATTGTGCCACATCGAATTTTCTTAAGTACATTAAGCTTATAATTTTCTTTAGTAGCAACAAACATCACCCTTGCCAATAAAAGTCTCTGGTAGAATACCTAAACAATTTATCATAAATTTGGTTTCTAATACATGTTGAAAATAAACTATTAATTCTGAAATAAAACACTGAACAAACTAAGTCATATTTGAAATGTGAACATTATTAGGCTTCCCTGGGAAATATTCAGAAGAATACCAAAACATCCCTGAGATACACATGTCTATTAATATATATGCTATAATAGGGCTGCCTAAAAAAAACAATCCTAATAAAAATAACTATTAATCCTATTTCTTGAGCACTCCCTGTGTTGCTAATATTTTACATGCGTTATATAATTTCATTTGTACATCAACTGCAGGATGTCTATAGTATATTAACTGAATCACCTAATGTTAGCTTTATAAAGCACTGCCTAACTGTTGATAAAACCACCAATATAAGAAAGTTGGAGAAAAGAAAGAGATAACACAGAGACAGGGAGCGGGAGGAAGAGGAGGAGGAAGAGAGAAAGACAGGGAGGCACAGAAGAAGGAAGAAAGAAAAGAAGAAACAAAGGAAGGAAAGGAAGGAAGCATGAAGTATGAAAACAACAAAATTATAGCTAGAGAAATATTACTTCAAATATTATGGAATAGTATGTAAAAATATGACAATATATTTTATGACACATATGAAATAGATAATTTTATAGGAAAACAGCAATCACCAAGCTAGCCAAAGAAATAAAATCCAGCAGATAAGAGCTGGTAGTGACAGAAAACAAACTTTACCAGCTAAGTGAATAAGAGCATGTGTTTTGATTTGTGAGTTCTGCCAAACATCAAGTAAAAAAATAAATTAGAGTATTTCTATCTTTTACCAATTTATCTAGCCCAGAAGAGACCCACCAGGGGTCATTTGGCAAGTGTGGATACATTATTGGATGCCACAACTGGGGAAGGAATGTTACTGACACCTAGGCAGACGCCAGTGTGCTGCTAAACATCCTAAAATGCTCAAGACAGCCCCTAATGGCAAAGAATTATCCAGCCCAAATGTCTATAGTGCCATGGTTAAGAAATTCTATTCTAGAACATATGAAAATATGGAAAGTTATTCACCTAATTACTTATGAAGACAGATGCAAACATTATAAATAACTTATTAGTAAGTCACATGCTACCATGCTTTGAAAGAATATTGCATTTTAACACTGTTGACTATGTCGTATGAATAAAAAAATAAATTAATAAATCTGTCAATAGCATGACTCTACTAATAGATTAAAGGAGAAAAAAAACATGATTTTCCCCAGAAATGAGAAAAAATATTCACAAAATTAAATGAGAATGTATGATAAAATTCTTAATGTTTAGGAAGAAAATAAAAAATAAAAGTTTCCCAATGAAAAATATGTTCCATAAATTCAGAGCAAACATGGTTAAAAATGACCTGTTAAAAGTATTTTCATTAAAAGCAGTGACAAGATACCACATTTACTATCACACTACCATTCAACATTTTATGGAACAGCATTAGCAAATTAAAAAAGTAAATAGAAGAAAATTGTGTCACTTTCGAATAGAAACAAAAAGAAATCTTAAGGTTTTAATTGATTTTTCCCTGAAAAATCCAAAGAATAGACAGCAAAGTCTTAAAATAGAGCTTACCAAAATAACCAGATAAATATCAAAAATTAATAGATTTTTCTTATCACAAAATTAACCACTAAGAAACTTTTATAGGCCAGGCACGGTAGTTCATGCCTATAATCCTAGCACTCTGAGAGGCCGAGGCGGGAGGATTGCTTGAACTCAGGAGTTCAAGACCAGCCTGAGCAAGAACGAGACCCCTTCTCTACTAAAAGTAGAAAAAATTAGCCTGGCATAGTGGTGCATGCCTGCAGTCTGTAGTAGTACCAGATACCTGGGAGGCTGAGGCAGGAGGATTGCTTGAGCCCAGGAGTTTGAGGTTGCTGTGAGCTAGGCTGACGCCACGGCACTCTAGCCTGGGCAAGAGAGTGAGACTCTGTCTCAAAAAAAAAAAAGAAAAAGAAAAGAAACTTTTTAAAAAATAAGGCTTTGTTTTTTTATTTTTTTATTTGTATATATTCATGGAATACAAGTGCAATTTTGTTGCACTGACATATTGTATTGTGGTGAAGTCAGGACCTTCCCTGCAGGAAGCCACTTTGCACTGTCAAGCAACCTCCCTTCATCCATCCCCCTCCCCTTTATTCCTTAATTCCTTTCCTACAAATAAGAATTAACTAACACATAAATTGTAAGCATTATTAATAAATAATATGAAATAATTTTTAATGAATCATGACAAATGTATCCTAAAATATATACTACAAATGTGCAAGTATGTTGAGTGTAATATTGAGAACAACAAAAATGGATACTTGTCCTTTGATGTATCAAGATGTAATCTATAGCTGTTCTCACTAATGAAGTGTAGTATTGCCAAGGCATAAAAATATACATCTTGGAAAATAAGAGTATGCTTTAAAAAGTATGAACGAGGATAACAAATTTGGAAATGGCATCTTATATCATTTAAATAAAGACTAATGATGTGATAAATAAGGACTGGCCAATTTGCTAACAATTTTTAAAAAAATAAAGATCCCTATTTTATACATTCCTGCATTTAAAGATTTCAAGACAAAAACTGTCATATAATAATATTAGAATAAATAAAGGAAAATACATTTTTACTTTTTTAAGGATTAAAGACACTAAAATAAAAGTTATATAGAACACTCCTTAAAATCAAATACAACTGATTGCAAAAGATATATGTAAATGAAATTAGAAATATAGTGGGTCATACATTCAGTAGAAGGCCAAGACCAAAGAACACTTACATATCTAGTTAAAAGTGATAGTCTGAATAACAGTATAGAAAATGAGATGGAAATAGAGATTTGAACATATTTTGTAAAAAAAAGAATTAACAAGACCTAATTATCAGGACAAAACTGGGTACAAGCTAGATGAGGTATCGAAGAAATAAGAACAACCTGATTTATGATTGTGAATGGGCCAGCACAGGAAGTAAAAGGTGTTAGTAAAGAGATGGTGTAAAGCTCTCTCTACCAGAAGGTAAGAAAACATGTCCCACAGAACCATCAATCTGCCCATTTTGTAATGAAGCAAGAATCAAAACACCTGGAATTTGATCTTGGCTACTCTATTTCACACTTATTTTTTAACAACATCTACTCTGCGGACTTTTTTTTTTTAACTTTTCAATAAAATTGGTGGACTAGATTAGTGCCTGTAAAGCATGCCTGCACATTAGGATTACTTGGGGAGCTTTTTAAAAATATGAAGCCAAGAACTCAGCCCAGATCAAATAAATTCAAATATCTGAGGATAGTGAGAGAGCACCAATGAACCTGCTTCACACTACATTGTGTGTCTGGTTTTGGGGGGTTTTCTTGGATTTTGGGGGAGTTGATGTTCTGTGGTTTCACTAACAGTGAGTAAGTTAGAAACAGAAAACAATAACCCTAAATATAGATTTCTGTGTCTGGGCGTTTGACTTATGGAGGAAGTGGTAGATATTGGGAAGTACAATCATTCTGGCCAGACAGAATAATAGAGATGAAGATAGAAGTCCTTGCTTCTCCACTGAGGGAGGCAGAACCTTGGTAACACACTCTCATCTACAGTCCCTCATCTGTAAATCTTGGGCTTTAAAAATATCCTTGATCTGCCTATTTCCAGTTGTTTCTATTTTGGTCAAAATGCTAAGATGTATTTAAAGTACTTCCTTCTAAATATAAATGGTTACAATTAAGAGAGCTAGAGGGGAACTCAGAAAATAATAAGGTGAATTGAGGCCAACTGGTGAGACTCAAAAAAGTTTATTTCCTAACAAACAGGGGTCCAGAAATCAGTTAAATTTAAAAGCTGAGTGAACCAGCAATAAAACATACAGTATATGTCACATAGGGCCATACAGAATCACAATAATTCTACTGCATTTCCTTGAGATACTGGCTTTGGTGTTTTCTCCTGGAAAAAAAACAATTGCTTGCAAATGTCTTGCTGATATCTTAGTAATTCCCACACCCTTAAGTTTGAGCCTGTTACTCTGAATCCCTCTTCCCAGTATTTCTACCCTTCTGCCTCTGATTTACAGCACTTTACCTCTGAGCACCTGCCTCTCCACTCCACATCCCTCCCTCTCTGCTCCATCCTTGCTCTCCAGTTTAGACCTCAAGGTCTCTGTCTTCTTGGCCTGCTCTTTCCTGACCTAGCACCTTACCTGGCTCCCAACAGATAAAGAGGTGCACTTTCCACTCACTGTCCAGCTAAGTGTGTATGTGGATGACTCTTGGACCTGGCCCTTTATAAGGATCCCAGTTTATAACCCTGCTGCCAAGATACCCTGGGGACTCGACCGTAGGTGTGACGACTAGAGTTTCCCAGGAGGCCCCTCACAGTAGATTGAAGCAGATCTAGATAGTATGTTTGCATCTCCCTTTTAATTACTTTATTATATTTATAATATTTTAAATGGATATAAATGTTCTTTTTTTTTCTTCCTTAACTTTAGATTCTACTTCCTGCTGTGTAGACAGCAGGAAATAAATGCCCTTGCACTTTCCTCTTTCTCTTCTCCCTCCTTTCCCAAATTTAGTCACTTGTAGCATAATAATTCCCTGGACAAGATATAAATCTAAATACAGTCTTATAGCTATGATTTCATAGGTATGTTTAGGTTTTTCCAACTTTAAAAGCAACACAATTTTGATTAAAATATGGCTAAATATTCATGTAGAAATTCAGTTGTTCTAGTACAATGCACTTATTTTTGTCACTGAATTGCA